TTTAAAAAAAACTTTTACACCCAATCCCAGAAGTTCTTTTGGTTTATTTCCCCAATATTAAATTAATACAAGAAATGTACAAAAGCCGCGAACGGCGTGTGCGATATGCACTTAACATGGGTTGAAACTGCACTGCCTCGATTACCTCAAACTCTAGGTTTTTATAATAAATATAATAATCGAGTCAGCGCCTTTATCTAACTAGGGTTGGACATAACAGTGCGACACCAAGCTTCCGCGCCACGTAACGCTGACTAAACCCTTCGTCGATAAGAGCGACGGCTCTCGCCACTGAATTAGCATCAAATGGCATGTTTGTGATGTCCAAACACTAGCTTTAAGTTACGAAACCAAAACAAACTCAAATTGTTTACTTTTAATGCCACTGAAGCAATGTAAGCAGTATGGCAACGATAACGATAATGAGACGAAGTTCGATATTTGTCCTATTCACAACTTATGCGTAAAAAACAAAGTTAAGTGGGTAGCTTGTAATTTTTTCGTCACTACATTTCTTTCACACTTGACTTATTTATGCCCAATAACTTACAACTGCGATAACATCAAAATTTGCCACTTTAAAAGGGTGGGCGGTTAATTGTGCCGCTAAGTGTAGTTTCACGGTTGTTATCGATAAGTTGTAATACATATATCTTCTCGGTTCATAATATCGCATTGTCGTCCCGTTTTGCCCAAATTCACCAATAATTTACGTCTTTCCATATCTTTTGTGTTGAACTCAAACTGTTTACTAATATGATAACACTTTTATACACACTATAACACTTAACAAACCAAAACAAACAAATACTCGTGCCGGCCGGCGAAGCACATGGTATCTGACTGATGACGCAATATGAATGACCGCTGGCCCCCCGCGCGTCCCGCGTATAAACGGTCAGCGGTAGTTGTCCGCATCTACATCGTGCAATTTCTCAAAACAGACGTAGTTGTCTTCTTTTACGTGACAAAAGTACCAAAAATAAGGTGATATTTATATTTTTGTTTTTGCTATGTTGTAGAACATGATATTTTAAGTTAGTTTTTACAAAAAACCAAAAATCTCAAAATTGCAGTTAACTTTTTTTTACTTTGCCCCGCCGATATGCACAGGCCTGAACTTCTGCGTTGCCTTCGTAAATATTTTGTTCTATGAACACGAACATCAGGCGGTTCACTTATTGCATGAAATTCAGGCTCTGCGTGTATGAGTGTGAATTGTGGGAGTGATAATAATTTGCTTAAATTATTAATAATTACATTATGTATGCCAAACTACTTAAAATTGAAGTTATCAATCAAGCCAAAAATTGCCCCGTCGTAGGATTTGTATTTGACCCACAGTGACCCTCAAAGTAACCCCCCCCCTCCAGCCGCAATACACTTATGCCAACGTTTTTTCCAATCCTCGTAACTGTTGTTAAAGTCAATTTCCGGAATAGCCTACAATGCGCGTAGCGATTCACGTTTAATGTCTTCAATTGACTCAAAACGGTTTCCCCGGAGCGGTCGCTTGAGTTTGCTTAATAGCCAGAAGTCGCACGGAGCTAAATCGTGCGAATACGGTGGTTGTGGAACGATATTGGTTGAATTTTTGGCGAAAAACTCACGAAGAATCAATGCAGTATGCGACGGTGCATTATCGTGGTGCAAAAACCAAGAGTTGTCGGCCCATAATTCCGGCCTCATTTTACGTATAGCTTCGCGCAAACGACGCATAACACTCAAATAGTATTCCTTGTTGACAGTTTGGCCGGTCGGAAGGAATTCGGAGTGCACCACACCTCGATGATCGAAGAACACTGCCAACATGTCTTTGATTTTTGACTTGCTTTGACGTGGTTTTTTCGGCTTCGGCTCACCTTTGGCATGATATTCGGCCGATTGATCGTCTGTTTCCGGGTTTTAAGCGTAGATCCAAGACTCGTCGCCAGTTATAATACGTTTCATGACATCCTGGTAGTCGGAAAGCATTGTTTTACATACGTCAACGTGGTGACGCTGTTTTTCAAGAAAATTGAGTGATTTTGGATCCAATCGTGCATCACTTTTCTTAGGCCCATTGTAGTAGAATGATCTTTTAAAATGGTTTTCACTGATCCTTCCGATATCAGTAAGGTCTCTGACTGTTAATTGTCGATTCTCGAGCACTAATTCCTTATTGACGTGTTGATCATCAGTTGATGTTGATGGCCGTCCTGGACGTGGTTCGTAGTCAACGCGTTCTCGACCCTCTTTGAATAATTTGTACCAATCAAAAACACTTGCTCTCGACATAAAATTATCACCGAAGGTCTTTTGCAATATTCTGAACGTTTCGGCACCAGAAGTTCGATACCGCACACAAAATTTAATGGAACTTTTTTGATGAATAATTTCACTCATTGTAAAAATTGCCGAATGCACTTTTTGTACTTCAGAATGACAAGCGTATCATCATCATCGTCATTCATCATTACAGCCCTTCACAGGTCCACTGCTGAACATAGGCCTCCCCCAAGTAATACCACAAAGCACGGTCCTGAGCCACCTGCATCCATCGACTTCCTGCATGTCTTACCAGGTCGTCACTCCATCTAGTAGGGGGTCGCACTACAATACGCCTACCGGTACGAGGCTGCCACTCGAGAACCTTTCTTCCTCATCAGTTATCGGTTCTTCGAGCTATATGGCCGGCCCAAGCGTATACTAAACACTAATGATTACTTTGATGTGATATTTGGCACAGATGTCACTGACAGTCGTACCAACGTAGAAAAAAAAAGTTCGACGAATGTATTTCTGCGCGAAATTAAAATTAAAAAGTCTTACCATTTTTTGCCCGCGGTAGTATGTTCCTCATCTGCACAATCATCATGTGCTTCATCGTCATCGTCTACACCTGGGCCCAGCCACGGCACTCGCTACAATTAACCCATCCTTCAGTGGACTGTGAATACCCACAATATACGCAAGGATAATTATTTTAATCGTTTTCAGATGAGTTAGTATCCGTGTTACTTTCTTTTTTGCGACTTTTTCTTTTATTCTTTTTTCCGCCTTCTTTTTTTCAGGTTTTTCTTTTTCAGTCTTATTATTGTCATGTTTCTTTTTGTCAGTCATCTTGCTTACTTTTTATCCATTATTCATGTCTCTAATGAGATCTTTCTTGTACAGAGAAGCTGTAGCACCCGTATTTATAAACAAGTAAAAGTAATTACTTGAGTAAAAGTAATTACTTAAGTAACGATTTATAATCGATAGTTAAGTAATTGCTCCAGGTTAGAATTGTCAAAAGTTAGAATACTCAGTCAAGTAATAGTCACCATTTCCTTTACTTAAGCACTACTTTGAGGTTATTTAGAATAAAAATGGAAACTTTGGATAGCATTGAAACGGTTTTTGGTGTTGTAGACAATATAGATAATATTATACTAGAGGAGTTAGAAGTCACTGAACCTAGAAATCCCAAAGGTTACTTTTGTAATGTGGGTCCATTTAGTGACTATTCGGAAGATTGTTTTAAAAAGAGATTTAGTTTCTCCAAAAGCATAGTGATACATGTGATTTTACCGAGAACTACTGACTCTTTACAATCAGAGACACAAAGATGGTTTACTATAACTCCACTGTGTCAGTGTCAACAGCCACTGGAAGCTTTCAGATAGTATGTGGAGATATCACGCATATTTCTCAATCGACTGTGTGTAATATAGTAAAAAGAGTTAGTCGAATATTGGCATTGTTAATGCCAGATTTTATTAAGTTTCCTGCAAATTTGAGGAAAACAAAGGACGATTTTGAAAAGCTTGGTTGCATTGGCAGAGCACCTGGACTGAAAAATATTGTGGGAGCAATCGATTGCACCCACATTAGGATCACCAAGCCTAGTGGTATTCTTCATACAGAGCAGTACCGGAATAGAAATGGTTATTTTTCATTGAATGTGCAAGTAGTTGTTGGCCCTAATTAGATGATATATGATAAAGTAGTTCGTTAGGCTGCAGCACACATGATAGCCGAATCTTTAGAAACTCACGACTGAATATAAGGTTATGCAATAATGAAATTGATGGGATGTTACTTGCAGATGGAGGACATCCTAACGATAAACTATATTTAGGTATATTAATACTATGAGCTATGTGGTCTTCAAAGCATCATAAATACCTCACTACAATATCGCTAATAAAGAGTTCTTTGTTTCGGACATTTATTGACTCGTTTTAAATGCCAGAACTCCACAAGAGAGATACAATAAGGTGCAAATAAAATCAAGAAATTCAGTGGAACGTTTATTTGGAGTATGGAAAAGACGGTTTCCATGCTTAAAATTGGTTTAGCAACCAAATTATCGACAACAGCCAATATTATAATGGCTTGTGCAGTGCTCCACAACATTGCAATAGAAGCAAATGATTTTTTTGATGTTGAGGACACTGTGGACAGTAATGCTCAGTCTTCTTACACAACAACAACAAGCACAACAGGTACCAGTGATGGTTTGGTACTTCGAGCAAATATAATTTCACATTATTATATGTTTGAAATGAATTATAAAATAAAACCGGTATTTTCACTTACATTACATTATATTTTATTTAATTACGCAGAAAAAAATCAACAGGGTTGTTGCATTTCATATTGGTTATTCTTTGTAATGTTTTTCCAATTCTTTTAACTTTATTTGCATTTCAATTTTAAACAATTTTTCTTTGTTTTTTTCTTAAATTCTAATTCTTCTAATATTTTACACTTTAGTGTATCTATTTTATTACTTCTCAAATTTTCGTAACTCTTTTTGGTAGGAGTTTTGAAGTTTATTTCCCTTTCCTCTTGAGAAACTTGCATTGTTGCTTCTGCTGTTTTACACCAAGCTTCATTGTGTCTAATAAAACTATATTCCCTGAAAAACAGAAAAAAGTCACAAATATAATGATAAATGCCCATACCTACTAATAATAAGGAGGCACTGTTATACATGCCAGGCTTAAGTAGTTATTTACATGGATAACTCTTACCATCAATATCACTATCGGTATCCACAGCAATGTTAGTAAGGATACTTTTATTTATATCCATGACTTTGGAATCGATGGGATACATATCCATAACAGATGGCCCACCTCCTGTTATGTGGCGAATATTTTCTTTTGTTTTAGACTCCCTTGCTTTTGCCTTCATATTATACCACAGCTTTATTAATTGTTTAGTAGATGCCTGAAACAATATTATATATGAAGTTAGATAACTGCCTAATACAAAATCGTCTCATAGAAAAAGACCGTGACACACAAATGAAACTCTACATATCTGTAAATAATAAAAGTATACAAAATTATATTACCTTATATTACCTTTTGAGTAACAATAGAGGATTCATTAAATTCCTCCACTATTTTCTCCCATGAATGCTTCTTTTTTAAAGCACTCGTGGCATTTGTTTGTTAACAGGTTGGGATAGTATCATATTTCTGTATGATATTTAAAAACAAATCCTTTTCCAAACTCGAGAACGGTTTTTCCTGTCTACTTCAGTCATGTTTAGAAAATTTGAAATTTACGTAATTTATGGATGGAAAAATTCAACTCGCCGACAAAACGGTTTTGATTTCAGAGTAAATTAGTTGAGTTGACAGCAATGAATGTATGTATAATCTTTCTAAGTAAAAAATCACGTGTGGGCATATAATCCATGAGTAAAAAGTGACCATTTAAATTTACAAGGGTTTTAACATTTCAAACGTTTTGTTTTTATAAGCATTCGTTTTTTTGTACCGACAAAATTAAATGACAATAATGATATAATAAACTTCATTCAACGCTATTGCTATTATAAATATAAAGTAAAGTTATATCAAAGATATTATTGCAAGATTTTGTAAAAGTAATCTAAACCTTACGTTTGCCTTTTCATGAAACGAAACGTAGTCACGAAGTGTTGCCACACAGAAACAACCACCAAGCGTCGAATGTTACTTGAGCATTTGCTCAAGTAAGTAACGTGTGTTACTCAACTATGGAATGAGATTTTGTAATTAAGAATTCTAACCTTAAGTAATGACTTAATGAAGAAATTACTTAGCAGCAAGTAATTACTTCTTTATAAATACGGGTGTAAGTATTGCAGTTTTATCGTGTTTTCTTGTTTTCTTGTTTTTCTCTCTTGGGTATGTACTCGTATATGGGGTCACAGAAAACGAAGATTTTGCTGGCTGTATTTTTTTTCTCACGGGTCTTTTCTTTAATTATTGTGCAGAAGAAGGCTGTGGTGAAACCTCAGTGCTCATTGGTTTTGCAGCTGAACAATCAGCAGAAATATCTTTTTGTGCCGGAATGTGTGATTCATCTTGGATTACTTCCGATATAGTAATGTTTGGTTGTGTTACCTCTAAAGAGGAGTTGACGTTGAAGAGGTTGGAACCTGAGATGTTGATTCAAGGTTTATATTTTCAGACGGCAAAGTCTAAGCTATTTTGGCTATTATTACTGCATAAATCTAAAAGTAAGTTAAAAACAGAAACAAACGAACACCAGAAACAAACAAAGAAAAACGATATAAAAGTAATTTGGTAAAAGCCTGCAAAATTTTATCAATTAAATAGTTTGAAAAAAAATTTAATTTAATCAGACTAATAATTAGTGTTTGAATTAAAATTACAATGAAATTTAACAATTATCATATTCTAACCTTACCTAATATAATATAATAAAATAAACTAAATTAAAATGTACGTATTAATTAATATGAAAAAGATCACACTCAGGGTTTGATGATTTGTGGATCCTTTGTGAAGTTATCCAACCATACTCACTACAGGTCCCCCAAAATCCCAGTGGTGCATCATCCAGAAACTCATTATTCATTCGTTTTCGGGCGTAGATTAGCATTGGTGATATATATGTTCCAGCGGCATTAAAACAGATTTCAATCGTAACTAATTGCCCTCTTTGTGCAGATGACAAGCAGCAAGCTTGCTTTTGATCCTTGAGTGACAATATCTTTGACTGACTTTTTGAAACAGTACTAACAGCGGTTTCATCGACCTTATAAATCCTGTCAGCCATGCTCTTCTACAACTATTTCCAAAAATGTACGAGTAAAAAACTCATTTCAAGAAGAAGAAATCTCATTGTCTCAGAATGCACGTCTTTAACAGCTCTTTTCATGTCGTTTTTATCCCATGATCCACGATCCGTTTTACGTTTATAATTTTCTATTTTGAATTGTAATTACAAATAAAAAATAAATTTATGTTAGAAAATCTATGCATAAGGGGCAAAACGTGATACTATCCCATAATTTTAACCCCACCTTTTTGCCCAAACAGACATATTTTGATTTGATTTTCAGAGGCTGTTCTCCACAATTAATGAATTTTTTGAAATGCAGATTTTTTCATACTCTTGCTGGCGCTTCGTGGAACCACTTATAAGTCTAAGTAACTCTCTAACAAGAAATTCAATATGTTTCGGAATAGTTTGTTCGGACGCATGACTGACAGCCAGTTGAAGTGAATGACAAATGCATTTGATCTCTATTAAGTTTGGCCAGTAATTCTGTGTTCGCAGAATTTCATATACGCTTTGGTGCCGCCCTGTTATCACAGAAGCAATATCGGTGCCAATATCGACCAAATTTTCAAGTGGAAAATTATTGGAATTGAGACATTTTACTAAGCTTGTCGCGAGTCTAGTCTCTAGTGATAGGAAAGCAGATACAACTCTTTTCAATGTCATGCTAAAATATCTCACTATAATCCCCATAAACTATGTCACACTAACATCGGTGGATTCATAAGGAATAACGCTGTATTTCTGAGTGCCAATATCTTTATTAATACCAGATTAATTACTTGAGTGCATTTGGTTCTGTGAATTTTTAGATCTATTACAGCTTTTGAATCAGCAAAGATATCTTTAGATAGATATGTCAAATGGTCAATTGAAGAAATGGAACTGTGTTCCGTAACAAATAACGCTAGTTTTCCACCAAAGGAAAAATTTTGTAGATCCATCAAATCAAAAAACATCACTATTTATGAATACAGTTTTTTTTTATAAGTACGCAAAGAATAATACGAAATAATTAAATAGTTTGAAAAAAAATTAATTAATAATAATAATAAAAAAATTTAATTTAATCAGACTAATAATTAGTGTTTGAATTAAAATTACAATGAAATTTAACAATTATCATATTCTAACCTTACCTAATATAATATAATAAAATAAACTAAATTAAAATGTACGTATTAATTAATATGAAAAAGATCACACTCAGGGTTTGATGATTTGTGGATCCTTTGTGAAGTTATCCAACCATACTCACTACAGGTCCCCCAAAATCCCAGTGGTGCATCATCCAGAAACTCATTATTCATTCGTTTTCGGGCGTAGATTAGCATTGGTGATATATATGTTCCAGCGGCATTAAAACAGATTTCAATCGTAACTAATTGCCCTCTTTGTGCAGATGACAAGCAGCAAGCTTGTTTTTTTTTGTTGTGAAACGCTAGTTTTCCACCAAAGGAAAAATTTTGTAGATCCATCAAATCAAAAAACATCACTATTTATGAATACAATTTTTTTTATAAGTACGCAAAGAATAATAAGAAATAATTAAATAATATGAATTAAAGAATTAAGGTAAATAAAAACATCCAACTCACTTTTCGACAAGAAATAAACTTTCTTGCATTATATTTATTGCAAAAACAAAATTACTCACCTATGAAATGATCATTCGGGTGATTTTTGACTATATTTTGAAGCACATCCTGTTACACAACACTTAGTCATCTTCGTAATTTATATTGGATTGGAAAATTCACTAATCAATTTCATAAACTGTGTCAAAAAATTTGTTGATTATTTGACGCAGCTTCACTTTTATTCTCATGTTTTTTAGCACACAAGCACACTTCCCCTCCTGCCCCAAGCTTCGTTTTGCCCCGGTCTCCCCTAGTAGGTTCTTCTGGTTACTGTAACAATATTTTATTTATTTAGGAAGAACTTTTAAAACTGGCAAGAACGCATTTCCCACGTGCCGCAACACTAGTCTGCGTAAAATTGCGAGTATGGCAAAGTAGGCAGGGATTTAATTACCTAAAAATATGTATTTATTACAGCCAAAAATAAAGTTGTAACTGGAAACATACTAAAACCAAGCAAAGTCAATATATTATAAAGTATTTTAATGACAGCTGCGTTTCGCAATATTACGTGCATGGCGCATTATTCTTAAAACCGGCAATGGCGGTTAAAGGGTTAAGATCTTCTCTGCGTAACTTTAGGGCCGTAGCCGCACTCCTAATTAACAGGGTGGTAAGTTCAACCTTCATAACTTGGTTTTGAATTTAATATGTCGTTTCATCAACTTATTACCTAAATGAGTTTTGTTTTGTATTTCATTTAAATGTACAAAGTACTTCCACGCTACAGTTTTATTATTTTCTTCTACAAATTCTTTTTTAGATTTAATTTGATTTCTAACTAGATTATGTACATATAATCACGTCATGATGGCTGAAGTTAGGTTTTACTAATTTAACTAGTTTAGTGACATGGCTGAAATTTCTAAAAGAAGTAACCTCGGAGTAATTTGCTGGGTGCTTTAATGTCGTTTTGACATCTGCTGAAACTGCATATTTGCACCCAAGTAACTCAATGGCTGTAAAGGCGAACGGCAGGCTTGTATGAGAATTTCGTACACCTAAAAAATTTCGTGTTTTGGGATATTTTTTGTTTTAATTGGTAGTTAGTAGGATAGACAAGCACTTTTTAAATTCTTAGATTTTTAAAACTTGGGACGTAAAAGTTATAACCAATTTTATTTTTTAAGGTTATGTACTAGTGTATCAATGTAAATTGTTACATATAGGCACATAAACATTGTTTTGGTTATAAAGTAAATGTTCTAGATTGCTTGTCGCTATCTTTGTAGTGTTTTACTTACCAATAAGTAGGTAGTTTGAGATGAGGATCGTACCTACATACTCAGTGGGGTGCTTTAGGGGATACCTATAGCTAGCAGCGGACTGTTTGATAGAACAAAAGTTTGATAATGATGAAGTTCTGGTAGGGTTTTGAGTGTAGGTAAATGAAACAAT